TGTTCAGTTTCTGGAGAATGATAGTTTTTAAAGAGCGAAAGAGCAAGGTGTGCAGATTGGCAGTGCAGAAATGCTGAGGTTCTTTCTGGCCAGCTTCTCTACTGCAGTCATCAACCATGAGGATGTCAGGATCAGAATAATCCCCAGGACCCTAAAGGCAAGGAAGAAGTATGTCTATCCAGAATGGCTGGGAAAATAAGGGGTTATAACCAGCTATGCTCTCAACACTTTCTAGAGATTAAATATAACAAAAATGCTTAATACAAACTACTGGAGATAATTTACTTTTTCATAGCAGATTCAGAAAGACTCTGATACATTTCAGGTCTCAGAATCATTGTTATAATAACGTTTTAGTTCAAATGGAGTAACTAGCTGTGGCAGAGAGTACAGGATTTGAAGTCAAATGATCTAGACCAGAAGATCAGCAAAGTACAGCTCATGGGCCACATTGGGCCTACTGCCTGTTTTTCTAGATAAAGTTTTATTGGAACACAGCCACACTCATTTGTTTACATACTGTCTATGGCTGCTACACAATGGCAGAGTTGTCAGGGACCATAAGACCTACCAAGCCTAAACTATTTACTGTCTTGCCCTACACATAAACATGTTTTCTGACCCCTGATCCAGACTATGATCTAGCTCTGTAATCTTAGGCAAATCACCATTTTCTCTGAGCTTCAATATCCACATCTATAAAATGATGATTATCTCTCACACAGGGTTGTTGGGAGAATCAAACGCATAGAAGGATGGGAAAGCATTTTGTAAACTCAGAATCTCTGTGGAAAGGTGGATAAGGGTGATTTTTGTTGTTCATCTGATCTGTACCGGAGGAGAACCTACCCAGGATATTCCTTGTTTGTGTTTTGTTTTCCAGTCCCCAGAGTCAGTCTGTTGTTGTGTTCTCTCTTTCTCACAAATGCAAAATTAATTCCCTGGGTACCCACTCTTTTCCCCCACTTCCCCCAAACTTACCAAACATTCTGGTCATATGCTTTCAGTAGTAGAGGACTAGTACAAATGCATACATCCTTTCTTTCATTTATCAAGCATTTGTTGATGACTTACTATGTGCAAGGATACAAACTTTTATGAGCTAGTTATTTTGGGAAGATGTGTTTGGTTTCTAAGGGGAAAAGTTAGATATACAAATTATTATAATAGAATAAAGATGTTGCCATGTCATAGTAAGAGGAGACATTGTGTATTTGTGTGTGTGCCTATGTGCCTATGCTTTATAAAAACAGAAATATTGAAGTTCAGATTTAAGAACAGCTTGTTAAAAACAAAAACCTGTTTAATTCAAAATACTCTGAAGTGCTTTAAAGTGTAGCCGTTATGTGTAGCAGTTTTCTCTTGGAAAGTACATTCTGAATTGTAAGTTTCCATCTCAAACTGCCAAGAATGCATTTCCTGCCCATGCACGATAACTGGGGACCATTCACCCATGCCTGCTAGACAAGATTATTAGGGACTGGTCACAGTAAGGATTGTAGGTCACCTGGGCACCAAGGGGCCAAATGCTCACTCTAGTTTCTAAATTTTGGAGACAGTCTTAATTTCATAATATCTTATTTTTTAATAAAGAGGATTCAATAAACATAACTTTAATGATTTCCTTTTTATTTGTTCACCTTCCATCAAAATAAACTCACAAATTGGGAACAAAAATACAGTTTGTTTTAATTTTCTGTTCTGAAAATACTGTTGCCATCCCTATGTTCTCAAATCTTGCTGCTGCCGATAAAAGGAGAAGATGTAGCCATTTGGAAAAAAAAAAAACAGAATAATAAAAAGATATGATTTCTGGAATGCAGATACGTACTAGCTCTAGGTTCCAGACTGGATCCCTCAGGCCCTCCCAACACAGCATTTCTCTTGGTCCCCATAGAAAAAGTGTTGCTATTTTTTGTGAATGTGTTTCATCTATTTTTTTGTAGGTACACTTACATACAGAACTGCAAATCTAAAACCCATCACCAATATACGATCACCAAAATTAAAACATAAAATTTTTCCTCATTTTACTCTCCTTTACTACTGAAATAGTTTCTAAAAGAAGTAAATCTTGGGTTTTTATGTTTTCTACTTAGAGATTTAGTCCTCTATAGGGCATGTTAAAAGAGAATGCTTAGATCCATAGAGTATTTTTTATTAGACTTAGTTGGACTCCTATGATGGTGAGAAGCATGTTAAGAAAACCTGTTCGTGAACTAGGCTAACCACAGGTAGTTTCTTTGTGGTGCCAGACTATCTCATATCTTTCAATTCATAGGCAAGTTTTTCTGCCTCTGTCCTCCTCTTGTTCAATGCAATGTTCTGTTTTAGAGCTTGCAGTTCATTATTTTATATCAAGGAGAATCATCATCTTTTTTTCCTCTTCCTTTCTGAAATGATGTTCATCTGTGTTTTATTTTTATTTTTTCATTTTCCCAAAAGCACCCTCATTCTTGATGTTAAATGCAGTCTCTCTCTAAAGCTAGAGCAGGTGATAACACAGTTGTGCTAATTGCAGTCAGGAACTAAGGTGATGGTGGATTTGGGACTGATACAAGCAAGTGGCTTGACATGATACATCTTGCTGGGCAAGAGGGCTCCTTTCCCTCATTTGACCTTCAGAGTCTTCCTAGGACTTGAATGTGTTTTCCTTCCTCCAGAAGCAAAGGTCTAAAACAAAATAAAATATAGAATGTAAAACTTATGCTCATTATATTTATTTTAGATTTTCATCAATATATGAGTAATTTTAGAAAGATGGGCAGTGTGTCAGGAGCATGTACCACTAGTAAGCATGATTCCTCCACATATATTCCATGAGTATAATAAATCAAGTACTACTCCAATGTGAGTTAGGTCTAATGTTTCCTGTTAAGTGGTGAGTGTTTTGTTTATATTTTTCATAGTTTATTTCAATTTTACACAAATTAAATTGGGCTGGATAGATAGACCATCTGACCAGTTTCCTAGAACTTATACATAAGGTTTATATTGACATAATTGTTTTAAAAATACCCTTTAAAAGCAGCTCAACTTGGTGAATGACTGTTTTTATAAAGTGATCATAAGAATACTTTAGTACAGCAATTTTTAAAGCTTCTCATATATGCAAGGTAAATATGACTGAGAAATTTGCATGATGAAAATATATTTAATTAGGTGAATTATTTAGCTGGGTTTAATGAGATGGAGACAAATTTCAGATAAATGATATTTTTAAACCAATGAAATTGGTCTCTGTATTTTTGTATTTGCAAGATGAAATTTCTTGGAACATATGGCAGGATCTTGTAATTCACCTCACCCTGCCCCCTCCACACACACACACACACACACACACACACCACTCACACACCATACTTACACAGTGAGATGGAAGAGAAGGGTCCCAGCAGCTGGAGTGCACCCAGCATTCTCTCCTTCCTCTTCAGTTACTCATCCTGGCTGGTGAAGGGCATGTCTGGTAAAGTTTGCCCCTGCTTTTCTTCTTCTCACCCTGTTCTTCCAAAACAAAGGAATATCCTAATGGAAGGTGTTGTCATTTTGGGTTTTCCATTTGGGGTCAAATGCCATTGAGCTTTCTTGTGATTCTCTTTGCTCCATCCTATAATAAGTCGCCCATTTTCTCATCCAGAACCCAACTTGTTTTCCCAGGTTTCCTCCTACAACCAACACAAACACAGACATTTACCAGCAAAACAGAAGCTGTTGGAAAGATTTTTTGGCCGCTGAAATGGGCTCCTGTCACCAGGACATGGCAGGCTTTTGCAGTATTATCTCCCAGCCCTGGCCCCAGTACTCCAAAGAGAGCTTTATGTAATCAGTCTTTGCTGACATGTGATGTCCTGTCATTTTCCTCCCCTTCGGCTCTGCTGCCGCCCACAAATCAATAACATTGCCTGGGAAGTTCAAGCTGGTTTTGCAGCCACCCCAAGCTCTGTGTTTCTTAAAGGGTATGTCAGAAAATGTAAAGTTTCCTAATGATATTTCTGGCTGATGACACATGGCAGAGCTGATGGACTATTTATAATCAGTGGCACGATTGCAAGCACATTATTTTTATTTCACTTGGGGGGAGCCCTGTCACTTGCTACCTCTCTTTGCAGACAAGTTGATGCCATCTCCACCTAAAGTAGCTAAATCCTCTTTTCAGAGTGTATTTGCACTCTTAGCTTTGTGTTAGGAGCTTCTCAGCTCTTTTCAGTAGAAACCCCCTCTCCTTTTTCTTTATTGTTCTTTGACTCAGGGGATGATGAGGGTAAAGAACGATTTGTAGCAACTGCTGTAATTCCAGCCATGCCTGCATCCTTCACTATACACCTCTCCAGTCTTTGCTACTCAAATCTTGCTACATCCCTCTGAGTGTGGGTGTGGCTGGCATGACCAAGGCAATAGACACAGCTACTGTGTCCAGCACTTGCCTCAATTTTACGGGCCTGAGCAGAGCATAGCTGTCTTTTGTTGAGCACCTACTCCAATCTAGGTAATGTACTTGGTAGGCATTTTGTACACAATCTCTCACTCTCTCAAACCTACCTGAGGTAAGTGCTGTTATCTCCAGAACAGAGATTGGAGGTGGGAGGGGGAGAGAGATTAAATGACTTCCTTACAAAGTCGCACAGCTGACAGGGAAAGCTCTAAGGCTCCAGTTTCTCTTCTGACAAACCACACCTGTTCTCTTTCCTCTACCATGTCCTGCCTCTCCCTGATAATGTGGATACTTGTGTATCTCTTGTGTGGCTGTGCAGGGGCACTTACCCAGTTTTAGCTTGCACAGCTCCTAAAGTTTAATAGCCAACAAGAGTAAGAGTTGGAGGAATTAGACACCTCTCAATCTGGGGGTAAACCCTGGTGTAAGAGGAACTGTATATCAAAGGAGAGTTTTGACTCACTGCAGTGGGAAGTGTTGCCTCTATAAAGATACTGAGCATGCTCTCTCTCTCTCTTTCTCTCTGTCTCTCTCTCCCTTTCTCTCTCTCTTTTTAATATTTCCACAGGACAGAGTTTAGGGTATGGATTTGTTAACTATATTGATCCAAAGGATGCAGAGAAAGCCATCAACACTTTAAATGGACTCAGACTCCAGACCAAAACCATAAAGGTAAGAGGTGATGTGCCGGTTCCTGATTCAGGAGGCACTGGTTAAATTTCATTCTGTTGATCTGATAAATCCAGGCTATGTGGGGGCTGGAAGCAGTGTTCTTGATTTATTCAAAGAACATTTACCATCCACTATACTAAATGGGAGACACAGGGTGTTACAGAAGAGTGAGGTGAGGGTTGAGTAGAGGGAAGGGATCACAAGCTGTGAGACCTCCAATTAAGAGAGCAGATGGGATATTTGGGATTCAAGACCCCACAAAAAGGGCCTGTGAGCCTGAGTCTGCAAAGATGGCCAGAGCCGAGCCAAGGGAAAAGGCTGAGGCAAGGAACCTGTTCCAGGCAGAGGAAACAGCGCATGCAAAGCTGTGAAAATGTAAGACGTTGTGAGCAGGGACAGCATATAAATAGTGTGGCCTAAGTTTGGATGGGAAGGTGAAAAGATGAGGATGGGAGGTGGCAGGGCCAAGTCAGGAAGCTTTGTGTGCCAGGATGCAGCTTGGCTTTACCAAAGGGTGGCTAGGACCCTCCTAATCGAGACTCGAAAAGGGAGTATCAGTTATAAATAAACATACCAGTGTAATAGGGAGGGATGGGTACTATAATAAAATCGATGAGAGCATAGTATGGGAATGACAGAAAAAGTAACATTTCAGCAATCCGAAAACAATTAGATGGGTAGATAATATCTCAGGAAGGGTTGTTTTAAGTCAAAAAAGAAAAACGATAACCCAGAACCTGCTCCTCCAGAAGGAGGTTTAAGTTTCTGTCACTGGATAGTCATACTCTCAGTTCAGAATTCACTTGTGGGATCCTTCAGGAAGTAGTGCTGTTTGCCTTGGAGATTCCCTTGGGCAGCCAGTGGTGGTCTAGTGGATGGAGCCTGCCTCCTCTTCCGCCTTCCTTCCCTTTCTTCCCCCACCTCCAGGCAGCATCCTGCTTAGGGGCAGCTGCCAGCCAATTAATAAGTCCCCATCTTTCATAGCCTATTAAACTGCAGGGAAGTGTCTCCTGGGCGCTCTTATCCTCACGACAGCAGGTCTGACGCAAAGTAGGACAAAAGAGAAACCTCTCCCAGAATGGAAATCTATAGATGGCACCAGCTCTCAGCATCTGAAAACACAAAACCAGAACTTTTTAGTCCAACAAAGCTACTTTTCCAACATCGAGCCTGATAGAGGAGACTACTGGTATAAGATAATCTTAGCTGGAAGGTAATCAAAACAAAAACAAAGCAAAACCTTTCTCTTTTTAGAATATGTGATTATCTTTCTTTCTTTTTTAAGCAGCTTTACTTTTGCAATTGAGTTTAGCTTATTTCTAAAGATGATTGCTTTCCCTGATCTCATACAGCCTGGTACACAAAGATCCCAAAATGGACCTGATTCAGGCTGCCTCAGTCTAGGCTTAGAATCATTTCCTATGAGTTCTCTAATGAGGAAATAACAAAGAGTTGTTTAATTGTGGGGTAGTCCTCTGAGAGGCAGGAGGATTAATTTCTTTCAAAGTAAAAACATACCTATTTTCATGCTTTAAGTAAAGACCGGATGCTCATGTCACCTGACTCTTTGATGAGGCCACACTAGACTGAGAGCTGTATTTGTAGTTTTGATTGATTTTCTGTGCTATCCAGTTCAGCATTAGAATGTCAGACATTTACTCTTCCCTTGACAGACACACTAACCTTGAACTGAAAAAGGTACATTTCTTTACAGTTTTCTTGAAACCCCAACTCTTCTCCAGGGGCTTAGGATCAAATAATCAACCTTCCATTTTGCTTTTTTTTTTTTTTTTTTTTTTTTTTTTAAGTATTCCACAAGGCCATTGTGGTTTCCCCAAACCACAATGGCTTTTCTGGTCTCAGATATACCCCCTAGCCCATCATGCCATCAGAGGCTTTATCTAAGTGGATCTTAGAGACAAGGAACATTGATTATTTTCTTTCTGTAAAGAGTGAGTCTGCCTCCTTCCATTATCTATATTCCTTTCCCCACCCCCTCACCCACCCTGTGCTCAACCTGCATCAAAACGCTGCCAACACATTTGCACCCAGCGGTAATGTGGGCTTCTGAGGCACTGTAGGATTCAAAATGCACGATGCCATGGCTGAATCAATAATTTCCATTCTCCACTACGAATGAAAATTTAATGTGCAAACCTGGGGATTTCAGCCCTTTCATTAAAGCAGTTTATTTGCTGTACTAAAAATTAAGTTTGAGTGATAGGTTCCTTTATTAACTTTTCTTCCATTTTCTAAAGGGACACAATGTTTTAGGTAAAAATCATATTACAGGGAAGAAAAAGCAAACCCCTTTTGTGTACTGTTTAATAGTCTCATCATTTATTAATTTTTTTAAATTGCTCTTTTGTCTTTCAGGCCACTGTTTACCTCTGCTTCTCTTTGCTTTGATAAGTGACATGAGATTTATCTCTTTGCTCTGACTCCCATGAAGGAATAGTTAACTTGCCTGTCTGCAAAAAAAATCAAGTATCTTGTTTGGAAGTGTACATTACAGAGATCTCAAGACCATCTAGTACATGTTTGTGAACTTTGGTCGAATTTCTCCCTCCTTTTCAAATTTCTGGAGTGCAAAACACTCTACTTTAAATGTAATGCACAAAATAGGTTCAGGCAAATCAATAGTTAATTCCAAAGCCGTGAAGGTTAATGATTAACAGGTGGATTCAGGGAAGGTTCTGGAAAGCACTAAGGGAGTGGTGGAGACTGTAGTGAGCAGTAAAGAGGACAGCTATTCTGCTGCTGCTGCTAACTGTTTAAACCCAGGTTGTTGCCAGATCTACCGGTTGTTCAATACACATGAAAATCTAGATTTTTTTCATGTCAATCTCCCAATTTTTAAAAGCTAGAAAATAACTCAAAGAATTTTAAGAGTTATGTAGGTGGGCCAAACAGAAATTAATAGTTGACCTTCTGACAGGCAGTTTGCAAACCACCCCCCAACCCACCCCCACCAAAAAAAAAAAAAAAAAATGAACTCACATTTAAATATGAAAACATTGTTTTGCCAATTGGTAGTGAATGGCTCATTACAAGTCCACTACTGGCTGAGCATCCCAAATCAGAAAATCTGAAACCCAAAATGCTCCAAAATTTGAAACTTTTTGAGCACCTACGTGACACTCAAAGGAAATGCTCATTGGTGCATTTCAAATTTCAAGTTTTTGGATCAGGGATGTTGAATCAGTATAATGCAAATATTCCAAAATCTAAAATCTGTCGTCCCATTTCTGATAAGGGATACTCAACCTGTACTAGGAGGTACCCAAAACTGATGGTTCCCAGTCAACAAATATCCATTTCCCTTTTATTAGGGGCAGTGTTACGTGACTGTGTGTGAATACTGAGAGCATTTAGAGAGCAATCTAGACCTCTGTCCTCCAGGAGCATGCAGTCTAGGCATCAGCACAGCACCAAAGCAGAGAAAGAGCATGATGTGTAATTAAGCTCCCAATGCATAGTGTGGATGGTGACTCCAGGGGAATTGTTCTTTGGGTTATAACTTCTTTAGTGGGAGAAAGTTCCCACCACACATCTTGGAGATCAGGCTCAGAGACGTGAAGTGACTTGTCCAAAGCCATACAACAGGCCAGCAGTGGAGTTCAAGTTAGCTTCAAAACGGCCTCTGGAGGATTCTGTCAGAAGAGGAGCTGCTTAATGTGTTAGCATGAGCTTGAAATAATAATAGTAAAGATTAATAGTAATGCTAACTTATAGTGAGTATTCACTCTGTATCCAATACTATTATAACCCTTTAACATGCTTGATATCATTTCATCTCTGAAATATCCCTGGAGCTAGGTGCTTTATACACATCAACTCTAATTCTTAAAATAGCCCTGTCAGGAGGTACTGTTATTACCTCCTTTATACAGGTGAGGAAACTGAGGCCCAAGGAGATTTAGAGACATACCCAGGATCACACAATTGATAAGCGAGACTTGGAGTAAGAAAAAATGTTTTAAAAATAACTCTCTGGCAGTAGGTCGTAAGTGTTGGAATGTCATACTGCCTGCTTGCTCAGCAACACGTGCATTCTGTGAGGATGTGTGGGTGTGTATTTGGCTCTGTGCACACATGGGTTATACTCTGTGGCATGGGAAGGAGAAAAAAAGCAAACAAATGAATTGTTTGTCTCCTCCAGGTTCTTTAGTAAACAGACATGGCTCAGGGTTTCTGCCATCAACCTAGGGACAGACCTGACTTCATTTCTTCTTGAGTCCCTGCTTTCCAGGCTCTGTGCTAGGTCCTTGGATTTGGGTGAACCAGAAATGGCAGTGCCCTAGAGATTCTTCCATCCATGTATGTCAGAGAGCTATGGAGTATGGACCATGGGCTTACATTCACTAGCCTGCCAGAGCAGCCTGGAGCCCCACTTGGGAAATTGGGTCATTGTTTAGTGTTTCAACCCTGAGCCCAGTAGAGATGACTTGCCTCATTTAGGGGTTTGGGATGCTATTTGTTTAGCTTTGTTTTTGGTGCGTGCGTGCGTGCGTGCGTGTGTGTGTGTGTTTTAGACAGAGTTTCGCTCTTGTTGCCCAGGATGGAGTGCAATGGTGCAATCTCAGCTCACCGCAACCTCTGCTTCCCAGGTTCCAGCAATTCTCCTGCCTCAGCCTCCCGAGTAGCTGGGATTACAGGCATGCAGTACCACGCCCGGCTAATTTTGTATTTTTAGTAGAGACAGGTTTTCTCCATGTTGGTCAGGCTGGTCGTGAACTCCCGACCTCAAGTGATCTGCCCGCCTTGGCCTCCCAAAGTGCTGGGATTACAGGCGTGAGCCACTGTGCCCGACTGGCTTTGTTTTTTAAAGTCATCTCCAATAGGGATCATTTTAGACTCTGGAAATGGCTGTGGATTCTGAAAAATTATTCCTGGTACTCCTTGACCCCACACCTGATGCCTGTCCCAGGCCTGACCTTCTCTTGGGCTCCAAAAGAACAGCTTCTGAATTTACATGGTAATTTTATACTTTTACTAAG